AATCCCTACCAGGCCTCTCACACCCTCCTTGCCACTGTTTTTGGATCACTTGTTGCTCCCCTGTCCCTGGGTTGGTCAGCACCACCTCCTTAACCATGCCTCCCACTCTTCAGTGCCGCCCCCCACCGGAACCGTTGGTCCCATTGTTTTCTCCTCTGAAGTGTGTTTCTTAAGGGCAGCAGATTCATGGATCTTGTTTCCTAATCCAGTCTGTTACTCTTTGTTTTCTGATTGGTGTAGGTAGTCCTTTCACATTCACTGTTATTATTTTTGAATGTAGATTAGTTGCTGTCATCTTGTTTCTTATGTGATTGGTAATTTCCTTCCCCTTTTTTCTAGGTGACAGTGTGTGAGATAGCAATCATCTACTTATTTTCCTGATAGGACATCTCAGCCTTAAGTCCAAGGGAATATTTCAGTCCCTTAAATCTGCTACACATGAATTTGATGTAAAGCCAGTTTCACTTAGTGTTATTTCCACCATGACTATTTCTGTTGTGACCTATGAAATTTTGTACACCTCTAAAGGGCAGAGTCTAAAATTGAAGTAGCACATGATATGGATCACCAAGTGCTGTATTAAAACTAAGTCAAAAGTGTCCATTTAGGAACAAAATTTGAGTCATATTCTCCCCTTGGTTTCTATATAATTACTAGTAAGTGTATTTTTCTCCATGGGAGGTTGCTCCACCTGATTTACCCACTAACAGTAATGCAATCACTCTCTCTAAGACATACATGCCTCCCCCATCTTGACATGAATTTCTAGTAAAGTCTCCTTATAAATTTTGTAGGTATAACTTAGCTTGCAGTGACCTTAGCATAATGTTGTATGGCCGCAACTGAATGATCTTCTCCCTCTCTTCCCATGCTGAAAAAAACAGACACTAGCAGAGGTGAAGTCTCTGTTGAGCTGATTTTTAATATGTATATATAAAGGAGGTGACACACATTTCATTTGCACTAGGTGGGTTCTCTACTTCATTGCTTGTGAGATCTGATTAGACTATTACATGACTTGAGAGTAGAAACCTGAATTTGTCTTGGTGTTTGTCCTTATAGTAGGGGAATTATACAATATTTATCTTTTTTTGATTGACTAACTTCAACCAGCATAATGGACTCCAGGTCCATCTATGTCATGAGGTGTTTCAATATTTCATTGCTGTTTTTTAGTGATGCATAGTATTCCATTGTGTGTATGTACCAGAGAATATTTATCCATTCTTCTATTGATGGGCATTTGGGCTGTTTCCAAGTTCTTGCTATTGTGAACTGAACTGCAATAAACATGGGAGAACTGTCTGTGTTCTGTCTTTTTTTTTTTTTTTGGTGGGTGGGGAGCGGTAATATTCCCAGCGAAGTTATTGCTTGGTGGCATTGTATTGCTATTCCCAGTTGTTTCAGGTGACACCATGTTGCTTCCCACACTGGTTTTGTGTATTTACAAAGTCACTGACAGTGTGTAACAGTTCCAATCTGTTCGCAACCTCTCCAGCATTTTTTAAATTATTTTTTAAATTTGGCTATCATGAATGTAAAATCTAATTGTTGCTTTGATTTTTATATCCTGGATGGCTAATGATTATATTTCCTCATGCGCTTCTTACCCATTCAAGTATCGTCCCTTTTGAATTGCTTATTCATGGCCTTTTCACACCTTTTATTTTTTACTTGTTGGTCTTTATATAATTGAGGGTTTGCAGAAGTCAATATATTTTAATAATTAGTCCCATGTCCATTATGTCACTGCTAAAGACATTTTCCCAATCTGAGTCCTCTCATTTTACTTTTTTGATGAAGTATTTTGATGTACATAAGTGCTTAATTTTAATAGGTCCAAGTCATCTATTTTGTCTTCCACTCTGTTCTTCTTTTATTACATTTGGCAGTCTGATTATGCCATTTAATAAAGGCCCGTAAATTTGTCCCAATTTTCTCATTGATAATCGTTACATCATTGGGGTTTACATTTAAGTCTTTAGTCCATCTGGAGTTCATTTTGTTTTGAGAGTGAGGTAAGCATACCTTTTCATTCTTCTATCTATAGATGAAGATCCATTTTTTTCAGCGACATTTATTGTGAAGGATGGCCCTTTCCCATTTAATTTTCGTTGTTGCTGTTTGGTGCTCTGTAAAAAATTAGTTGCCTGTATCACTATTCCCACTCCTCTTCCTGGATTCTGTGTGTTGTGAGTGTCCATCTCTTTTCTATACCTGTGTACATGCTCCCGTCTCGTCTGAATTGGTAGAGAGAAGGAGGGGAAAGCAAAGGAGAAAGGGGGAATGTATCGCAACATTTGACACATAACCATACACCCCTCTCCAAGAAGAAGAACAGCAGAAAATATGGGGGGGAAAGAGACAGCAGTTGGTGTAAGATATGAAAATAATAATAACTTATAATATATCAAGAGGGTATGAGGGTGGTGGGAGAGAGGGAGGGGCAAAAAGAGGAGCTGATACCAAGGGCTCAATAGAAAGTAAATGGCTAGAAATGAATGAAGGGAACATATGTATAAACACACCTCATGCAATCAATGTATGGATTGTAACAAGAGTTGTAAGAGTCCCCAATAAAATGATCTTTTAATATTAAAAGAAAATCAGTTGCCTGTGGGTGGATGTTTTCATTTCTGGCTTTTCTGTTTTGTTCCATAAGTGTATGTATGAACAATTGCACCAATATCAGCTATTTTGACTATTATGGCTCTGCAGGTAGGTTTTGAGATATGTCAGTGTGAAGCCTCCTACCTTGTTCTTCCTTTTGAGAAGTTATTTGCTTATTCTAGGTTTCTTCCCTATTTATATGAAGTTGGTAAGTAATTTTTCCATTTATTGAAATAATGAAGTTGGCATTTGGAGGGGAGTTGTGTTGTACTTGTAGACTGTGTTAGGTAGTATTGACATTTTCACAATATTAAGCCTTTCTATTCATAAACACAGGATATTCTTCCATGTGTGTAGATCTGTTTTAGTTTCTTGTAATAATTTTCTGTAGTTTTCTTTTACAGGTTTTTTGTTTCTTTGATTAGGTTTGTTCATAGGCATTTCATTTTTTGTGTGGCTAATGTAAGTGTTATTTCCTTTTTATTTAATAGTTTTATTGGCATATAATTCACTATCATATAATTCAATAGTTCATTCATATTAAGAAGTGTTGCACAATCATCTTCTTTCTGTATTTATTGTTTTAGCTCCCCATTTCTCTTCAACCTTCCCTGTGAAGAAACCATTATTCCAATTACTGTCTCTATAGATTTACCTATCCTGGATTTCATATACAGAAAGAGATGCCAAAAACAATAACAAAAAAATGAGAGAAAAACCTCAGTCAAAAATAATGCAGAGAATGTTAAAAGCTAAAACAAATGTAAAATGGGTCAAAATAGAGATCAAATAATGATATATTAAATTTTAACTTAATTGCATATGCAATAATCTTATTTCCAATACACTTTCCATGATAGCAAGGCTATTCACATCCTTGATGTCTTTTTCAGTGCTCTCTTAACTAGTTATAGGAAATAAATTGATTTCTGCTTGTTAATCTTGTATGCTGCTACTTTCCCAAATCACTCAATTGTTTCCATCAGTCTTTTTGTGGAGTTCTTGGAGTTTTCTATATATAAAATCATATAGTCTAAAAATAGTGACGACTTTACTTCTTTGCCCAATTACCATGTATTTCCTTGTTTTCCCAATGGTCCTGGCTAAGACTTCCAGCAGGATGTTTTATAAGAATGGTGATAAGGTGTATCCTTGTCTAGTTCCCATTTTCAGGGTAAAGATTTCCTTTTTTCCCTATTGAATGTGATATTGGTTTTTGGATTTTCATATAGGGTCTTTATTATGTTGTGGAATTTCCCTTCTATTCCTATCCTATTGAGTGCTCTTATTATAAATGGGTGTGGTATATTGTGAAATGATTTTTCTGCATTTATTGATATGATCATGTGGTTTCTATTTTTGTGTGGTAGATTAAATTGATTTTTTTTTTTTAGAATTGAGCCATCCTTCCATCCCTGGTAAGGATTTTACTTGGCCATGATTTTTTTAAATATGTTTTTGGCCAGAATTTTGTTGAAAAATATTGCATCTATGTTCATGAGTGATATTGGTCTGTGATTTTCTGGTTTTGTAGGGTCTTTGTCTGGCTTTTGGTATCAGACTTATGCTTACTTGATTAAAGGATCAATGTAAGTTTTAAAGAACATTTTGTCTAAGGAAAAGAGTTGGATATATTCATGTAAATTTAGAAATCTAGAAGTACTGATGAATGTGCTAAGAAGGAGGAGAAAAGAAGTACCCCACCCCACCCCCCTTCTTAAAGAAATACTGTGTGACTCTTTCTAATAAGTCAAAGCTTAAAACAAATTCTTAGATTTTAGGCTTTTTAAAAGATTGGAAATATATGTTTTGAGCTTCATAAATGGTAATTGAAAGCATTTACTTTGGAGGTTTTAAGAAAATATAAGAGGTAAAACAATTCCCTAAACTACTGTATCATCTAGGAATATTGAATTCTATCTCTATCAGGTAGACAACCCAGCATTTTAGGTCTTATAAACTGTGAGGTATTGTCTTTACCTTTATTTTCTCTATCCTACCGTCAATCTCTCTTACAGAATGGAGAAACCTACCGGGCAGATGTGGTGGATCTCTTCCCAGGGACCTTTGAGGTTATAGAGATGGTAGCCAGCAACCCTGGGACATGGCTGATGCACTGTCATGTGACTGACCATGTTCATGCTGGTATGGAGACCCTCTTCACTGTTGTGCCACAAGGTACAGTCATATTGCCTTAGATGGACCATCTTCAAGTATTTTAACCCAGAGAATAGATCCCAAGAAGTTTCTTGTATTCCTCCTTCTGATTCCAAAAGTTAGCATTCCTCCACTAATATTTTCCATCATCTTATATCTTTTCCATCTTTCTCTTCTCTAATCACTTAGCTAGCTGTTGGGCTCACATGGGTTAACCTAGCTTGAAACTGGCTGGGCTTTATTCAACAATATCGAGTTCAGATTTATTTCCTTTGTAATGCATTTCATTTATGTACACATTTATTTTAGAAATTTGTTAGAAAGACTATTTCAATAACTTTGTGAATGAGTTATTTTCCATAAGGAGAGTAAATCGAATTCCAGCATTTCCTCCTAAATTGATTCACTTTGGAAGGATTTTGCATGACAGTTCTTTCTGTTCTGGGAAAGACAAGAAAGAGATAAATGACTATCAACTTATAGTTTACCCCAGATAAAGTTGTTAGCAAGATTGAAAAAAAAACTTTTTTCTTATTTTTTTATGGAGAAGGATGAATTGGAGCAATTTATTTAGACACCAGCTTAAGTTCTCTTAGTAAGACACCCACTAGAATCTCCTGGTACACATAAAGGGACTTGTTTCCCTGTGAGCAATGTGAACCCCATAGAATAGAGTAGAATGTCTCCCTAGAGTTTAAAAAGTTGTAAATTTTTATAGGAGCAGCAGCCTCTTCTCTCAGAGCTATTCATTTATTCAGATTGTTGACCTTGTGGTTAGCTGCCCAATATGTAATCAATTATGCTACCAGAGCTCCCAGAATCCACATGGCTGCACATAATTAATTTTTGTGTTCTCTAAATCAGAAGAACCAAAACAAAGAGATACACTGAGATGTCATCAAGATGCTAACAGTGAAGCTGGAATGCAGCATTAGAATTTAAGGAAGGCATATTAACATATTGCAATATACAGATGGCACCACCTTGCTTGCTGAAAGCAAGGAAAACTTGAAGCTCTTATTGATGAAGATCAAGAATTTCAGCCTTCAATATGGATTACAACCTAATATAAGGAAATTGGTTTCTTTAAAATCACATTTGGACAAATAAGTAACATCAAGATTTCATCTTGCTTGGATCAACATTCAATGTTCATGGAAACAGCAGTTAAGAGAGCAAACAACTTATTTCATTGGATAAATCTGCTGCACATGAATCCATTAAAGTGTTGAAAAACAAGGATGTTACTTGGAAGACTAGTGCACCTGACCCAAGCCATCGTATTTCCAATTGTCTCATATGCATATGAAAATTGGACATTAAATAAAGAAGACCATAGAAGAATTGGTATATTTGAATTATGGTACTTGCAATGAATACTGAAAGTACCATACATGGCCAAAAAGCAAATAAATCTATCTTTCAAAAAGTGCAACCACAATGCTCCTTACAAGACATCATCTCATACTCCGGGCATGTTATCAGGAGGACATATCCCTGGGAAAAGACACCATGTTTTGTAAAGCAGAGTGGCAGTGAAAAAGAGGAAGACCCTCAACAAGATGGATTGACAGAATAGCTGCAACAATGGGCTCAAATATAACAATTGTGAGGATGGCATATGATGGAACAGTGTTTTGTTCTGTTGTACACAGGATCACTATGAGTTGAAATGGACTCAGCAGCACCTAATAACAAGATGCTGGAGATTCAACACAGCAGGATATCTCCATATGTAATGGGTTATTCCAAATATGGAACATCCCCTAGATAAGTGATCTCTTTCTTCCATATGACTTAAAATGAGCCAGCCTATAAATATTATCTATTTTTCTTTTTATTTGTTCATTCCCCACTGTGGTATAATTTGACATTACTCCAATTTTATATGTGCTAACAAGTCCATCCTAGAGGTGTGTTAAAGATAGATAAGAAGGATTAAGCTAATTGTTTAATAGGCTTCCTGGTGAGGCAGCAGCAGACGAAAACCAGAGCTAAGATGAATTGTTAGTGAACATCAAGAGGAGGTCATCTTTTCTACTATAGAAGAAAGAAGACAGAAAATATAAAGATCAATGTTTATATTGGAGTAGGAGACTTGACAAAAAGAGTTTCTGTTTTATGATCTCTCTTTGCTCTGTGATAGAGAAGACAGCATCATCTGATGAGACTGAAAGCTTGAGTAAGAGACTTGATGAGTGGAGCAAAGTTTTCATATGGTCACTCTATCCATCACTTACTGCCATTGAGCTAAGGCAAACCATAGCGACCCTACAGGACTGCTCCTTAGGGTTTTTGATACTGTAAGCCTTATCTTTCTCCCTTGAAGCAACTGGTGGGTTTGCACTGCCAACCTTGTGATTAGCACCCCAATTATTAACCCACTTCACTCTGGATCATGCTAAATAAACATATTATTTCTAAGCAGCATCAATGACTTAGTTGTAGTTGGGTGCAAGGAATACTACTCTATACAACTATGTGGTTTTTCTCCTGTAGCAATCAACACACAAGGCAAAAATACAGGAAAAGCAGTTACTGATGTTTAAGTAGATGGTTGTGACACTCCTGGATAGTTGGTAGTTCAATTAATAAACAAACATGAAATTAAGTTACTAGTTGGAGTTTAGACTGACCAGAATAGATTGGGGAAAATTGAAGAGGTGAAAAGCTAAAGATTTTAATGTGGGGTAATGGAAGAAAATTGTAATAGAAGAAAAGATAGAAGGTGGGTGTTAGATGATATTTTTTAAATGGACCCGTTCTGGGTAACAAAGTTCTATGTAACCATGGAGTATTTGGTAAAAATGAAATTAATTGGTGTTCAGGGTTGTAGAATATGTGAGATGTGAGGATTGTATGAGTCAATGCTCACAGTGGGAGTTAAGGGAAAGGGGTAAATTTCTAAGTCAAGTACCAGAGACTTCTATGACTGAAAGAAACTGCTAGGTAAAAGTAACAAGACATGGTTGTGCCTTATCTGGGCAAATAATTTGTGTTTCAACAAAGATAGAGGAATAATACTCTTAAGACACTATTGAGAGTATGTAAAAGAATAAAAATCCTGAGAGAATAGTCAAATTTCATTAAATCAAGAAGACAAAGACATATTCTAAGAAGACATTAAATATGTAGGGAAGTATGTTTGATAAGGAACAGAGGTTCCCTAAAGTCGGAGTTGAAAGAGAAAGAAGGCAGCAATAATAAGAATAAAGGAAATACCAGTAAATACATAAATAATGACAGAAGTGTAACTTGCATTATGGATTCCTAAGCTTGTACTCTTGTTCATATTTTGTGCCACCTCTCAAAATCAAATCTGAGTACAAATATTGACTTTAACAAAGAGTTAACTCTATGCACCTTTATTTTATTGTCTATACCACAGAAAGAATTCCTCAAACAATAATGATCTCCCACGGTATACCTCATAATATGTATGAATAATAATAAAAACTAACATCTTGCCTTTTTTTCTTTTTCAGAATCCTTAAACACTATATCCACTATCAGCAAAGAGATTGGAGAAGGTAGGGAGATTGATGCACAGACTAATTAGTACGTAATGTACATGTGTCGGGGGAGGGAGTAGGATGTCTAGAAAATAGAACACACATTACCAGAAAGTTGATATCACAAGTCTTATATCCTGAAATTGTTCTAAGACTTCTGAGGGCAAAGGTTGAACTTCTCTCAGCTGGTTTATTTTCTCTTATGTGTACATACTCTCAATCTCCTAGGTTTGGGAGAAGCAGCCTCATTCCTAGTGGGAAGTTGCTGTCTTCACCTCCAATATAATACACAGAGGAAAAAATATCTGGGTCCTGCTAAGTTGTGGGTGAATTAGCTATTGTAAAGATATCAATTCCCTACAGGGAGAGTTTTACCCGAGAACAAACATTTTTTAACTCCTCCTTTGCCTGTGAGTATCAAATAACTTAACCTTTGGAATGAGTCATTTAGACTCTGTAAGAAAATAGAAGTTTTTGTCCTACACAACCTAGGTCCAAATAGTGCTTCACTCCCTATGCTATTTGTCCTGGACAAAGAAAATTCAGGTAGTTGTGAGAGCTTGGAGATATTTTAAAGGTTATCAGTTTAGTTAAGAGGTTTTTCTTCTGTGCTTGGAGAACATTAGGATTTGGTTTAGTATTTTATGAACTGCCCTACAGAGGACTAGAAGGTGTCTGGGGGTGGAGCAGGTTTATGAGAGTTTCTTATTTTTCTAGTGCTACAATAACAAAAATATCATGAGTAGTTTTTTAAAAGCAGAAATTTAATATATCATGGTTTCAGGGATTAGCCGTCCAAATTCAAGGTGTCGACAGGGCTAAGCTCTCTGGCTAGACGATGATTCCTTTTCTCTTTCATATTCTAGTAGCTCAGGGCAGTTTTTCATTTATAGATAGCTCCTCATGTGGGATCTTCCCCTGTATGTGTATCTCTGTGTCTATTCAAAGTAGATTAACAAAAGAAAAACCCTTTTGGCAAATGGTCACATTCATAGGTACAGGGGTTAGAACTTCAAACTATCTTTAAATGGGACAGAATTCAACTCTTAATAAGGAAAGCTGAAATAAGACTTAGTGGGTGAAGATTCAGATCCTTGTCTCCTTCAATCTAAACAGCTCAGTTATAGTCTTTAGAAATATGTGTATACATATTTACAAAGAGGCTGCAGTTATCCCTAAAGGCCCATCCAAAAATATGTTGTTTGGCTGATTCTCTGTAATCTCTGAATATGTATTTACCAGTTATTCTTGTGAGGGATAGATGACATTTAAAAATATTTTCGAGTCCATAATGCCCATTTTTGTCTTGCTCCATTTCAGCAACAATTTCTAGAGACATTGCAGAAGATAATGTGAGAATGCTAGGCATGCAGATCCCCATAAAGGATATCGAGATGGTGGCCTCTGCCTTGATTGCTACAGGTATCATCCTTCTACTTATTGCTATTAGTCTTGGTGGAGTGGTCTGCTACCAGCGTAAGCAAAGAAAACTCCGGCGTAACAGGAGGTCCATACTGGATGACAGCTTCAAGCTTCTGTCCCTCAAGCAGTAACATCTCAGGGCTAGGGATGCACTCCCCACCCCCAACCAAGAAGCATCTGCACTCTCAGAAGTCCATGGACTGATCCCAACATCAAATTGGGCATGCGTGAGAATCAAAAATATCTGGATACATTTTCATTTATTTATTTACATAGAAATTGTATGTTTATGCATTATCCTTTTGTTTCTTGGGCACCTGGAGCAAGATGAGTTTCCTAGAATCCTGCATTGCTAATTTTCTCATTTGAAAACCTGGACTTTGAGGGTCAGATATCATCCACAGACACAGCAAAAGTCTGGAAATGGATCCTTCTCACAAAAGAAGTACCAAGAGAAGAAATTCATTGATTAGGTTTCTCTACCTTTCAAGGACCAGGGCAACTTCACCTTGATCTGAGACCAAATGAGGGGAGAAGATAAGTCAAATCTGAACTAAGGACTAAGAATGTTGGTATGATGAGGAATGAGGGGTGGGAATTGAAGATACAAATTTTTTTTGATTCTACTTGGAAGTGTACTGTTTCAGAGAAGTGAGTAGAATGATAATTGTTGCCATAAGTACTTACAACTTCTGAGACCAGAAGCTCCTACTGAAGTTTGTCATTCTCCAAATTCCTGGCACAGTGGCACTGCAAGGAATGTTGAACAACCTCTTCTTATTTTATGCAGCCAAACCTTTCCATTAAAGTACTTGTTGGAACACTGAAAAATTGAACTTGGTGATTGTGACAGTCCTTTTGGTCTCTGCGAGTTTGTGACTGTGAACACTTGGGAAAGGGAGAAATATAGTTTATGTATGCCTTTCCTTGGACTGCTAAGCACAAGGCCAGCAGTTTGAAACCACCAACTGCTCCTTGGGAGAAATATGAGGTTTTCTACTCCCATAAAGTGTTATAGTCTTGGAAACCTATGAGCAGTTCTATTCTATCCTCTAGGTTTGATATAAATCAGAATTGACTTGATGGCAGTAAGGTATTGAGTCCTTTGTACAGCCTATAGATTGTGGGAGATGAAAATGTAGTCTTAAATTCTGTCTTTGGGTTCTCTAGAGAAAGAAATCAGTAAGAAGCACGTGTGTGTGTGTGTGTGTGTGTGTGTGTGTGTGTGCGCGCGCTCACGTGTAGAAGGGTAAGTTTTTAAAAGTATTGCTATTAAGGTCCCAGTTCATATATACATGGGTTTGTTCCAAACAAAAAAATGTTTAAACATAACTTTACAGTCAGTAAAGTCTTAGTCTTAGTCTCATTAGGTTATCTTCAAATTAAGATCCACTCAAAATAGTAACCTGTGTCAGATCAACTCATAGAGTTATAGAGACTGGGTTTTGGTTTTGGGTTTGTTTTGGGTTTTTTTCTGGGTGGTGTTGTGGTGGGTAGAGACTGCAAAAGGGTAATATTGATATTTTTCTCAAAGAGCATAGAACTATCCTAAGGCTGTCTTTTGAAACTTTCAGTTCAGCTTATATTTACTTCATCATTTTTTCTTATTGCTTTTTATCTTCTCTATATTCAAGGAAGTGTTGAAAATCAAGGGTGTCACTTTAAGGACCAAGGTGTGTCTGACCCCAAACATGGAGTTTTTCAATCATATTGTGTGCATATGAAAGTTGGACATTGAATAAAAAACAAAAACAAAGAAGACTCAATGCACTGGGATAATGGGGCTAGAGAAGAATGTTGACAGTACCATGGACTGCCAGAAGACAAACAAATCTTTCTGAGCAGATGTACAACCAAATGTTCCTTGGAGGCAAAGATGGTGAGACTTTGTCTCACATATTTTGGACAGGTTAACAGAGAGACCAAACTCAGTGCCATTGAGTCATTTTTTACTCATATCAACCCTGTAAAAGGGTATAGAACTTCCTCTGGGTTTCCAAAACTGTAATGTCAATGAGAACAGAAAGCCTCATTTTTATCCCATAGAGCAGCTGGTGGCTTCAAACTGCTGACCTTGAAGTTAACAGCCCAACCCACTACATCACCAGGGCTCCTTACCAGGAGAGAGCAGTCCTTCAAAAATGACACTGAAAAAATCAGAAAATAATTTTTAAAAGATTAAGAAGACCTTCAAGGAGATGGATTGACACAGTACCTGCAAAATGGGTTCAAACACAACAACAATTGTGAGGATGGAACAGAGCCAGGCTGTGTTTCATTCTGCCTTACACAGGTTTGGTATGAGTCAGAACTGATTTGATGGTACATAACAACAACATGTTTAAAGGCAAAATAATAATAATAATTAATTAAAAGATAAAGGAATTTTTTCACAAACTTTTTGAAGGCCATTGAATATATAAATCACACATATTCATAACATGTATATTCATAATAAGAAATACACAAAAAATTACAGTAAAAAATTCTGCATTGGTCATGTGGTCCTGATATTAAAAACTATATTTTTACACTACTTGTTCCATAGTCCCTTTACCCTAGACAAACATTTCAGTTAGTCATGGTGTTTTCTGATAAAGTGACTCAAATCTTCATTCCTGAAAGGAATATATCCTGAATAAATTGGATTATTATTGCTTTTCACTGACTTTAAGTACCCAATTCACTGCTATCAAGTCAATTCTGACTCATAAAGACCTTATAGGACAGACTAGAATAGCCTCTGTGGGTTTCCAAGACTGTAAACCTTTTATGGGAACAGAAAGCCTCAAGATTCCTTCGAGGAGTGACTGGGGGGTTCAAACTGCTGACATTGAAGCTATTGATCCAACCTATCACATAATCAAGGTTTAAGCATGGTAATAAAAAAGATATTCTTCTCTTCTGTATTCAAGATATGCTATGCCTTTCTTTCATTGTATAATAGTCAAATCCCCTTTGTGAATCAGAACCAGTAACCAAAGCCAGTAGAGTGATTTCCATCTTTGCCTATTGATTTAGAGGTGGTCAAATGGTCAAATGTCAACACTAATTTCTAGTTCAATTGAATCATTGCTATGTCTCATGGGAGAAGTATCCTTCCCTTTGGAACAAAGACCACAGTACAGAATCAATAGGACAGGAAGCAAAATTTTGCTAGTGGGTGTCTCTTGGAGGCAGTAGCTGTGGGTATTGACAGAGACAGACCAGGGGCTGTTGCCTGCCAAATAAATGCTTGCTAGGAATGAATATTCTATTTCCTAAGGGAAGGACTTACTAGGAAGTATCATTCTAATTGTTAAAGGAGTAAGCATTCCACTAACTAGAAAAAATAAACAATGAGCCCAGAGATAACAAACCTGGTAAATGCCTCAACTTTGAGGTCAGGCTGGATAGGCATTCTTAAACATCTTACCCAAATTTTTCACCAGAGATAAGACTGAAGATATCCTGACACAAATTGTAGCCTGCGATAAATTTTAAAAATATATGTAGAAAACTCAAGGATGAATTTAGTTACTAATTAGAAAGTAGTTTCTATGGCGCTGCCCTCCCCTAGAAAGTGCCCTTTAAAAACAAGAAATATTCCCCCTAGACAATATCCTCCTCTCTCCTCTCGTAAGAGGGACCTATTTCATCTCTTTTGAAGTGAACCTTAAATATACCTTCGGCTTTAACCCTGCTGCAGTATGTGTGTGAGTATAAGCACAGCCTATCTCTGGCTCCATTCAAATCACATGGGTAGAACTTGCTAACTCCTCCTCTATAAAACAACCTGGAATTATCTGCAGGACCTGGAAATTCCCTGAAGGACTAAGCATCACAGTACTACTCCTTTTTACACCCCTTGATTTATGGACATGTGAATCCTGACAATGGGAGAAACAGTACAATATATTAGACACCGATGTAAAGCATATACAGCATCCTGAATAACTTTGCTCCAGCCCTGAAAGGTATTGTCACCTAGTGGATTCTATAATTTAATCTTCAGAAAATCATTCCACCATTCTATCAAGCTAGCTGTTCCAAAACGACCAAGAAAATGGTAAGTCCAGTGAACTCCATGAGCATGGGCCTATAACCACATTTCATTTGCTGTGAAATGAATTCCAAAATAGGAAGAAATGCTTTGTGGAACATTGTGATGGTGACTAAGGCATTCTGTAAACCACAGGTGGTGATTTTAGCATTATGAACAAAGTAAGTGAATCCTTATCCAGAGTATTTAAGTCACAGCACAATTAATGTACGCTAAGAACTGGAAAATATTTTTAGCTGGTAGTCAATATGTAGGTAAAAGACAACCAAGTGTATTCTGGGGATTGACGTTAATTAATGGGTTTAATTTACAAACAATAGGAAGTTTTCAGCTTGATTGCAGTAAATTATCTTAGAGACTAGAAGAGTTGGGTGGAATGGTGTATATAATTTTGAGTGTGCATCAGGAAGTAAAATCTCGGCACATGCATTTAAGGAAGGGATGCATTGTGTTTCTGGTGGGTTTGCTCTAACTAGGGATATAGGAAATATTTTTAACAATAAGCTACCCTCCATTAATTCATTGTCCTAGCACAAATCTCCCCAAACCAACACATCAGCAAGTTTTGTTTGTTTTATTTTTTTTCTGTCCAACTTTCTTTTTTTTTCATATATTATTTTTTTAGTTTATTTTTTAATCGTTTTATTAGGGGCTCATACAACTCAGCACAATACATACATACATCAATTGTGTAAAGCACATTTGCACATTCATTGCCCTCATCATTCTCAAAATATTTCCTCTCCACTTAAGCCCCTGGCATCAGGTCCTCTTTTTTTTCACCTCCCTCCCCGCTTCCCCTTCCCTCATGAGCCCTTGATAATTTATAAATTATTATTTTGTTATATCTTGCCCTGTCCGACGTCTCCCTTCACCCACTTTTCT